CTATTTATAGTGATTTACAGTAATATTATTAAATTATACGAATATTCTCGTTAGTTATTGGTTTGAAATAAATATATGACAGTGTCTTCCAATAAAAATGCGAGTTACTAACTCTAAATTCTAATTCTGAGTTGGCAAATGAGCTAGACGCTTTAACTAGTAGTGTGTTACGGCCTTGAAATCACATTATTTTCGACTTGTTTCAAAAACACTTGGAGGTTACAGTGCAGGAGTTACCCAGTTCTTACTGTAGATCAAAAGCAAGACAGCTCCAAATGCGTAGAATGTAGAATGTTTAGGAGGGGAGTTAATCACCGCGACCTTACAGATCTATTGTGTGTTCCCCATCTTGAGTTATAACGAGTTATAACTCATCATACAGTCTCAGAACTTTAACAAAAGCCAGTATCTGAGACGGCTCTATAGAGGCCAGCTCTCCATCCTCGACAGCAGCCGTACCAAAGTTCATGGCACGAACGGTCGTCGTCTCGGCGCACTCAGTGATAAAAAGTTCTGGTGTTTCCCCATTTTCCCCACAGAATCTGCATTCGCCGTTGTTTCTCAGCTTCAGCCTACTGAGGTGTTCGTTGAGCAGACAGTGTCTTGTTAGAAACCCCGTGACAATCCGAAGATTGTTTTTACTTAAATCAAGGAAAATCTTTGATTTTTCTCGGTCGTAAGTTCCGAGGAACTTTTTCAAGTGTCTTAGACCGTTGGAGGACACCTATTCCAGGTTACGGATGGAGTCTTCCAGATTCTTTAGTTGGTTACCGCTTGAAACACGTTGCAATATAATATCTACTGCTATATGAATATGCAACTCATAATCAGAATATGCAACTCATAATCCAGGGAAAAATTGTAGAAAAAAGATCTGTTGGAAGGAGAAGAATATCCTAGCTCAGAAACCTGCGAAAATGGTTTAATGTCACCTCATCTGACCTATTTAGGGCCGCAGCTTCCAAGGTCAAAATAGCAATGATGATAGCCAACCTCCGATATGGAGACGGTACATAAAGAAAAAGATATGAATATGAACATACCTGATTTTAACAGTAAAAATCTCATTTTCGAAAAAAGCGGAGCTGATTGGTTATTGCATTGCCCCTCCAATTGTCTTCGTAGATTGTTAACCTCATGATTTTTTACATTAAATACGTTTTTATTTTTATTTGGCGATATTCTCAAAATTCTGAATACACACCGCATATGTTTTTAACAATATTTTACCAATTACCTCGCACAAATCAATCTGAAATTGGCGATAAATCGGACACCCTTGCGCATTAAAAGTGCGCCGTTATTTGCATTGACGTCAGTGTTGTACTAAATAAGCCCGACCGGTTACCGGTCTCTGTAAATGAAATTCGCTTTTTCCTTCGACTTTTTCGTTAATGTTGTAATATATTGACACATTGTGAATGTTAAAATAGTTGTGTAAAATTGTTAGAAGATGAGAACGATGCGTTTATTAAAATATACAGGGCTACTTTTTAATAAAAGTGTAATTTCTTGTAATTAGAAATAAATGTAAATGTCCAGATGGGTAATCTAGGCGCAAGAGTACTATTGTATAGTAATTTTCACAACACGCTTTAGATATCTTGCAATCAAACTACTAAAGGACGACATAAAATAAATATAGTGGGAAATAACAGATTGTTTCAGTAAAAACATGTTTAAATAGTTTTTAACAAAAATGTCTAATAGTTAATATACAACTAGCAAATCCGATTATCTTAATCTTATAAAAATGCATACACTTTTCATATTATGCGTAAACAAAAATAAATAAAGCGGTACTATATTATTTTAATTTAAAATACATAAACTAAGCTACCTAGGTATGTACTTAAATCTTTATGCGACGTTAATATATGAGTTTTACAACCCCGAATAAAGAAATCATTTAGGGATACCCTTTTACCTAAAAAAAACGAATACTTTCAATATAAACTAGCCATATCTCACTACCTGAATACTGTTGGACATCCACGTGGAATGGGACAAGTAGAGAGGCATAATCTCTAGTATGCGTAACAAGTTGCATTACGATATCTAGGTTGAAAATGTTTCAAACATGCAGTTTGGATTGTGTGGAATCTAAGCACTAGGAGCAAAATGAGCGTATCTGGATAAGTTGCGTTTATCCCTCCGGGCGTAAATGATAAAGTCGGCGTTAAATTAGTAGCGAATTATGCGAAATATCAAGCGGATTAAAAGAAAAATTGGATGCGTAGCGAACTATATTCAGCGTCAGATCTACTAAGGATCTGCTAAGGATCACTTCGACACAGCTAATAGGATCCAGTCAATCTCCATGGTAGACAGGTTCATTTAAATTTCTAAGCAGCTGAGGATTGGTTGATATGAAGTTAGAAACATCCAAGAATGGTATGCACGGTCAAAGAACAAGTATTGTGGAATAGCTAGGTTTGGCAAGCTATGGACTTGGTTATGGTAGATTCAGACGTGTATTAGGATAGGAAAAAGAAGGAGTAGGGTTAGTTCTACCCGGTACTCTCTTTTTCAAGGTATACGTTAGTATGATAGCTGGAAAAGGCGTGTGGTGGTTGCTAAGGTATGAGTTTACCACCTAGATGCTTTGTGAGTAGGGCGGACAAGACTTGCGAATAGGGATGAGTCCCGGTATTCGGTCTGGTTAGTTCGACCCGGATTGCTCTCTTTTCCAGTGGCTGGAATAGGCGTGGGCCCATAGTTAGATTTTAGGTTTTAGATTTAGAATTTACAATTTAGATTTAAGATTTTAGAGTTGAGATTTAACTTTATTTTGTTGCACGCAAGCTGCAGATTGCGTGTAACACCAATATATAATAAGTAATTCGTTTATTTTACCTTTTAAAATTGTCTTTTGTCCCTGAATAATTTATTTGTCCATCATGAGTTTTTGAGTATTGTTTCTGAGTGAGTTACGATATTCTATTTTTATTTATTTAAGTAGCAAATAAGACGTAGCTCCAGTATGAGCAGTAAACAATCTAACATATATTTTTTATTTCAGCATTTAAAAATGTCCTTTAAACGATTCTGATAATGTTTCTCCTTTTAGTGTGTTGAAATAATGGTAACAATTAGCTGATAAGGTTTAGTCAATTGGTTTTGTATCAATTGTCTAGTATCAGCAGCAAACAATCTAACATATATTTTTATTTCAGCTTTTAAAAATGTCCTTTAAACGATTCTGATAATGTTTCTCCTTTTAGTGTGTTGAAATAATGGTAACAATTAGCTGATAAGGTTTAGTCAATTAGTTTTGTATCAATTGTCTTGTATCAGCAGCAAACAATCTAACATATATTTTTATTTCAGCTTTTAAAAATGTCCTTTAAACGATTCTGATTATGTTTCTCCTTTTAGTGTGTTGTAATAATGGTAACAATTAGCTGATAAGGTTTTGTCAATTGGTTTTGTATCAATTGTCTAGTATCAGCAGCAAACAATCTAACATAATATATTTTTATTTCAGCATTTAAAAATGCAATTTAAAAGGTTCTAATTATTTATGTCCTTTTAGTGTGATTGAGAGGAGTGAGGACACTCATAAGTCAGGAATGGCCGAATGTTATCGACGCCTATGATCCTTATGATAGGCAGTCATTTTCACGCCGTGCCTGCACTCCGTGTCCGCTGATGTTTGCGAGTAGCGGAGTAGTAGGCTTTGGGAAACAGTTGAATGTCGGAGATTGTTGCTTTCGGCATGATTTCGGGCGAGAGAAGACATTGTTGGTCAAGCTAGTTAGAATTACATTTTAAATATCAATTTCTGTTAAATATATTAATCTTTCGATTACATATAGTTTTAACACTGAAGAGTGCATAAAATTAAAATAACTTTTTTTTATAAAGACTCGTATGTACATGTATTATTTCTATAGCCTTCAAATTAAAGAAAACAATGAATTTCATATTAATATCATTATACAAAAAAGTTTTAATCATAAAAAATATCAATACTGCATCAAAGCTTTTAACACGAACAAAAAAAGCTAAACTGAATTTTAATGGCAGGTATAACAATTAATAGATTTTCAATCAAATAGGTAAATTGACTAATTTAGACTTTAATTTTATTGGGTGAAGGTTTATTGACGACTGCCTCAAATGAATGTAGCAGGTGTGCGTTCCAACTGGACTTATATTAAAAATTTAATATAACTTACGTCATAAAATTTTTATCGAATATGAAACAGTTTATTAGAAATATAATGTCAAATAGAAAATTTCTTGCATTGATTCCGTTTGCTTTGTTTGTGCCTTGAAATCTAGAAGCTCTTTTATGAATATTTTGAATGTTTTAGGGAATGTTACTCTTAATTTTGTTGATATATCGTGTGCCCGATAAAAATTCTAGGTCTTTCAGAAATGTTTAATCTTGATAAAATTCTCTGCACCCTCTGCAGTATGTCTAACGATTTTTTTTAATTTATATTTTTTACAGTCCTGTATTTTAATTAATGTCGACATACTTGAATGTAAACACAACACCATATTTATCAATAGCATGCCACACAAAATTAATTAAAACTAGTCAAAATTAAAGCTCCTTTCTGTTGCAAAAAAAGTCTATTACGCTGTACTGTTCGGGTCGCTCTCAGGGGTCGGGTAAAACGGGTGTGTGGTGTTAGCCCCCCCAGATGACCCGGGTTTCTCGTATAAAATTGGTTTTAACCTCACATCAATATTATCTTATAGGGACCTAAGCCCCCCCAAAAGACTTGAGCCCCCCTAAAAGTATATGTCTAGTTGCGCCCCTGATAACAGTACAACATTTTATAAGTAAAAATAAATAAAGACAATGAAAATACGAAATTATTTTATTTTCAACATGGATGTTTATAACATCCAACAATCTGGCAACCATTGATAAAGAATACCAGCAATAATATATCTTAATATCTGGTCAGGATTGCTGATATAATCGCATTCTATGACTACTAGTTGTCGTAATATCGTAATAATCAAAATAGTTTTTGTTTCAGACTATTTGAAGCTACTCCAGATAATTCCTTCGAAGTGTACGCCACGCCTCGTTTTCTGGATAAATCTTCTGTCAGACGTCGATGTCAAAATGAACGCTTCACTTGCGCCATCTACAGACACTTAATTTTACTAGCATGGCGTCGTTGTCGAAAATCCCTGAGTAATGCCAAAGACTCAATTCAAAGAGGAGAACACCAAGTAAGTGAATATTTTTGATTTATATAAGGGAGAGTGGCAATGTCTTCCTACATCGTACCTACCATCTGAAATTAGAGTGGTTTAGAAAAGTCACATCAGGCTTAAATAGTTAATAAGCATCATAAATACATCTTTCTTTTTTATCTGCTTTTACTGTCAGGTCATATTGTACATCAAATCAGCAACTAAGTAAACATTTTCATCTACAGACCAAATGATACACCTCCTAAATCCATTTGTAGTAATCCATTGATATGAACATTGTATACATATTATTATATACTTATAAACATTATTGTATTATTTGATATACGCGTATAGCATTGTGTTTCCTAGAAATTTTATAACCCAATTTAAGAGAAGCGCATAGTTAAATTATTTATGATCGATTCGGTAAAGCCACTTTACGATAATGTATTTTTGGAAGCTCGGGTTTTGAAGAACTTCCATTAGATATAATTAAATTAGCTGGCACTCGGAAGTTGATGCTGCTGTTCGTCTGGGATATCAATCTGGTTGACGTATATACATCAGGGACATAGAACTTGTATAAATAAAATATGGATTATTCCAGGATTTGATTTACTTCTGAGCTTTCGATGATATAACTCAACTTTATTATTAAAGGTCATGTATTTTTATTATAGTAACGTATTTGAAGTATTCATTATTTTAGTAGTCTATATACCTACCTAATGGCAAAGATGTGGATTATAAAAAATACAGGTGAATGTAAAAATATTGGAATAAAAGTCTTAAATAGGTTGGAAAGCCTTTCTAACATTAGGATATACCGGGTGCGTCTCAAAAGCGGCTCACCCCCTATAACTTTTTTATTTTTTCAGGTAAAAAAACGAGATTTGGTATGTTAGTAAGTATATGATATAAAATAGGATTGATTGGACATATTCAATTGTTTTTAGTCACTTCCTGTTTCACCGGAAATGACTCCAACTTTTTTATTTTCAAATGGCATCCTCGATATATTTCTACTTTATTCTGTAGAAAGTGACACTCTGAACACAATAACATTTCATATGTCAACTTTTGACATTTTCGCATATTGTTTATTTGAAATTGTAACATGCGGTTCATAATGACAACTTACTCAAAATACCAAGTATGTGGTATCAAATTATTTGTAAAAAATTGGTTTTTCGTTTGCACCCTCGTTCCATTTGAAAAAACTGAGATATCAGTAAAAATATTATTTCGGCATTTTTTAATCGTCCAGGGCAAGACACAAAAAACATTAGACGATCAAAACTATTTTTTCAAGGATTCTTGATTGAAAATTAGTGTTTTTAGTACAGCCATGTCTAGAATGCCATTGAAATTTATAATACGTTTTTTTTCAAGCGAATGTGATATGTCATTCTATTCAGAGTGTAATTTTCTATCGAGTAAAGTAAAAAAAAAATACGGAGGGTGTCATTTAAAAATCGAAAGTTGTAATAATTTCCGGTAAAACAAGAAGTGACCAAAAACAATTACTGAATTCGTCAATCAGTCCTAATTTTTATCATACACTAACATACTGTTACGTTTTTTTCGTCGGTTCCGTGTGGATAGAAAGTCACAACTTATTTAAACACTATTTATTTAACACTAATTAACAAAAACAATAACGATAAAAGACTTATAGAACTATTTACAAACGATTTATAACTAAGAATTTATTTTGAATTTTAGCGCGTCAACTGCACTGGTATATTTATAACTGCCCCCTGTAGGCCACAGCCGCCGGCTTTTTATACCGACAGGTAAAGAACTCTAGAATAGTCCATAGATCGTTAGATGCGTAGAAGGTTTTCGAATGTTCTCGTATGTACTAGTCCATTCCAGTGGGACTCGATTCTTCTCGAACGAATGAATCATTACGGTGTCTATTCTTTAATGCGATGTTAAGGTCATCTGAGGGCGGGACATATAGTTAGGTTAGGTCGAGTCCACACGGGTCCGCAACACTGCCCCCTTCTTAGGTACATGCTCGTCCCGAGATGTACACGGTGAATGAAGGTATTTGCAAAGCTGGCCCCTGGTACATTGCGAAGTTTGGTAGAAATAGCAGTCTACAGTTTTCTCTCCCGATGTCAGCTTTGGGTTGTAGCAGCAAACGAGGATCTCGATTCCCGTAAATCTGAACAAGACTTCAATCATGTTCCGGATTGTACACCGACTCAAACCATCGAGTCCACACGCCAGCTTCGGAATGGCTAATCGTGCAATGTTGTTGTTTAGCAGGGCTTCTCTCAGTTCAATCAGGGTCTTCCATAGATTGAGATAAGTCGGCTTACTCGGGAACCATTCCTTGGTGACCAGGTAGAAGATGTGTCTTGCTTGACCATGTGCATTGTCGGTTAGCCTCAAGACGCTTCCAACCTCTGGATCCTGTCGGCGTAGTTCTCCGACACGCCCAAACTTCTCATTGAACGTTGCAGCGATTCCTCTGGACATCCGCAAATCTCGAGCCACACAATGAGCGAGCGAATAATCAGGAGGCACGGAAAAGAGGTCTCGTTGATCTTCTTTGGTTACACCATAGCGAGTCTTCTCACTGCTGTTGTATCGGGCCATGAAATCGTCAAAGGACATCTCCGAATCAGGGGGATCAAAGCTGCAGATTCTCACGGTCCCAGCACGATCTTCTATTTCGCCTTGGTAGGGGCTCAAACGGTTGAAATGGACTACCCTCGGTTTTACCCACGACGTCTCTGCGGGTTATATAGCCACACCAACTTCCCTGGTTGGTATCCTCCATGCTCAGCTTGAATGTCGTAGTGTTCCTTCATTCGGTCACTAGCACTTTGAATATTTAGGCGGACTCTCTGATGAATGTCGTCGATCCTTTGACGTAGTGTGTGGACATAATCTTCTCCGGCGACTTAGCATGGGATTTACGAGGGAAAATAATATATGGCAGAGAAAACCTAATTTTGCTGTTCTGAACTTTGATAAAAGAGTAATAATAACAATTTTGAAAATGTTTAATGTTTAATAATGTGTACACTAAGTAAAATTTTACATTTAACCCTTCATCTGTAGTTTTTTTTTGTTAATTTACAAATAAGTCAATAATTATTTATTTAAATATGTATTAGGGTCCATCTATGTATCTTTGCTTATTTTCTGAGAACAGAATCCAAAATACTAGACAGAAACATAACTAAAAAAAAAACTATTTACGACTTTTGGGCGTCGAAAATTAAATTTTAGGCGTTTATTACTAAAGCGACACATGAGACGCGACATGAAGGAAGTTCGCTGGAAAATAAAATTGGCGGGTGATGGCATAATACAGTCATCGGCGTCGCGACGCTATGAAAAAAAAACGACGGCCTAGGCGTCGTGGCCGTCGGTATATATCTATGTTTAAACGCATCGTAATACTATCGCCAGGATCGAACGGCAATATAAATATACAAACAATGGAGGTTAATCTTGAAATAAATACTCCAGCAGCTTTGATTTTAGTAAACTGAACAGAAAAATGTTTGGGGAAGAGTTAAGCCTGATTTTCATGCGACCGTAAAGGTTGATTCTCACTATACCTTCCATATCAGTTCCCTTCCGTTTCCTTTTCCTTTACGTTTACATAAAATATTATATCATGTAAATGAATAAGACAATGCAAACTATCCGTTCCGTTTCCCTTCCGTTTCCCTTCCGTTTCCCTTCCGTTCCATATCCTTTCCTTCCATACATTTTTTTGGCGGATGGACTGAAGCATATCTGAAACAGCGTTTCGTATCAAGAAACCACCCCTCAAATATCAGAATATTTTTAAATTTAAAAACCGGTGAGTTTTTCGGAAAAACTCTTAAACACGTATATTTTATTTTGTTGTTTTACATATTTTAAAATTTTCAAAAAAATTATACAGGGTGTTTCATAAAATATGACCATTGAGTAATCACGAGTCTGCTTAAACTGCTTGACGTTTAAAGCTGATTTTTGGCAAACGGATTGACTGTGGGGTGTAGAGGTTCGATAAGGAGGGGTTTCTCGATCGAATCTCAAATTCCAAGAGGGTGAAAACGCCCCTCAAATATTACAATATTTGTTATTTAAAAAACGGTTAGTCTTTCGGTAAAACGCTTGGACAAGCATAATTTATTTTTTTACATATTTTGAAAAAAAAATCATACAGGGTGTTCCAAAAAGTTGGGTAATTGATTAGCCACGATTCTGCTTAAACTGCTTGACGTAAAAAGTTTATTTTTGGCAAACGGATTTTTCGAAAGTCAAATTTCAACGAGATGAAACTACCCCTCAAATATTACCCAGTTTTCTATATAATTTTTTACACATTTCAAAATATTTCGCAAATTTAGAGAGAGCGTTTAAACAAAAATATGTCTATTAGACGAACGCTGCAAAAACTCTAAACATTTTATCCAGTTTGTATGTTAATGGAAATTCTTGCTTTGCTTTATCACCACCATTACAAATGATTAATTCGACGCGAAAGAAATCGCGGGTACACGCTAGTACAAGTCTGACAAACGGATCTGAAACAACGGGGCAACGGCAAGGGGATTGCAATTTTCTAAAATCATGACCGATTTCATTCATAAAATATCCACGAGCGTGCGGTGTTTCATAAAAATATATCAGGAATTTTTATAATATTTTTCAGTAAAGTTTATAATATTATTTTACTTTAAATGTACCTACATTTTGTTTAGTCATTTGCTAATATAGTAATATTTGTTAAAATGCGTGTACTAATTACAATAAACACAAATCAAGTTAAAGATATAAAACACAATACAATAACACCGCCTCTGGATTTTTCAATAGTAGTGACTGTTTCTATTATTCCTAGAGAGGGGCATAAAGTTAGGGGTAATGGTAACAAGACGTGCGAGAATCTCTACCAATCAGACTGGTTGAATCCGGGATGTCATGATGAATTTTGTCAGCGTTGCCAGCTTACCTTAAGCGGACGTTATCTTAAGGAAATACTTTACCTTTTATAATAGGCAGAATGAACGAAA